GACATAAGAATTTATTTTGAAATATGTACTCTGGTTTAGTAATTTATATTGTTAATTGTGTGATTATGTTTTGTGATATAAGCCTAGGCAATTATTTGATTCATGATAAATAATACATATAAAAATGTTGACAGATGTGGCTTTTGTGTTACAAAACTGCTTTATGTAGCCTACAGGTGAAGAGCTAAATTTGCATGTTGTTAAAATTTAAGCTATAATCCTTTCAGGAAAAAGGAACACATTGCTTATAGGTTGGCAATGCATTAGTTCCTTGGGGTCATTTGKATAATCATTAGGGCAATGGAAGAGGTAAATTGCTAATTATTATGTGTAAAATTCCAGTTTTTTTTTCAAAAATTGGCTTCACAATAAGAATTTGGCTTGATTTTGATAGCTTAGAAGCTATTTTACAGTATTTAAACAGAAGGCTCAAGYTGGCTGGCTACAATCTAGCATAAAACATTTTATTTTGGTTTWAAAAAATGAATATGTAAAATTATTTTATTTCTCCAAAGTGCATTTAAATATTAGATAAATGTTTCTTCTAAGTAAACAAGTRTTTGATTTCATTATCTTTAAATTATTTTTGTTCTGCTTTAGAAATGTAGTTGTAATTTTAAGAAGTTATTTAAAAATATATTAAATAGGTTTTTAAGTCATTAATAGCATGTGTATATAATTAATAGACTATTTYAATTCTCATATTTTTCCTCATTGAMGTATAGAAAATAAGCACAGAATTAAAAACAAATTTGAAAAAAATCAAAATTTTCTTTTGTTTCATTCACATAAGCCAGAAAAGACTGTACTTGCCCAGTAAGTATGTGGATATGTGTTTATGGTTGATACTTTGGGCATAATGTAAATTTATTTTAATTTTAATAAAATTATTATTAGCTTCTTACTTAACTTCATATGGAGTATTTATATATTATCACCTTATTAATACTTATTCTSTAATTATTATAATATTGTTACATCTTCTCTGAAAAAGCAGAAGAGGATCAAATATAACACATAATGCAGTACTTAATACTAAGGCCAGCATACAACTGGCACTCAATAAATTCTGTTAGTGGACATAATATTTCATTATACTCTTTTTTTTAAAGAGAGAGTGAGAGAGGAGAGAGAGAGAGAGAGAGAATTTTTTTTTAATATTTATTTTTTAGTTCTCGGCGGCCACAACATCTTTGTTGGTATGTGGTGCTGAGGATCGAACCCGGGGCCACACGCATGCCAGGCGAGCGCGCTACCGCTTGAGCCACATCCCCAGCCCCTCATTATACTCTTAAGTCTAGTAAGATATTAGAGCACATTAAAACACAGAGGGAAAATATTGGGTGACCCTATGACTATTACTTCCTATATTACTTCAGCACTCTTTCCATATTTACATATATAATACAATTATTCTACAGACCTAGGGAGGTGAAAAATCTATAGCTCTAGTTCAAATAGAGTGATTTTATAGTCTAGCAGTCATAATTAGTAACCTTTACATTTGWTATCCACTTTCCACTAGCATATTCTGACAATGGAAAAATAACCAGTGCTGCTCTGGAAGGGCAAGAGGAGTCACCATATTTGTTTTCCTGATGCCACTATGATATATAGCACAAATAGGTAAGAGCACTGTGATTCTGAAAAGAAGTTATTTCATATTCTATGCTATATCTTTTTGGTTGTTAGCAATCTAGAAGCTGAACAAAGTAAAAAATACGGGAAGCTAAAGAAAAGTTGATTGTAAACTACTACTGCATCTTGCTTATTTAAAAAAATTTGAAACATACCATCAAATAAGAGAGAACCTAATCTCTTCTCCCCAACCCACACCCGATCTCTATGTATGTATTATGAATTTAGTTAATTAAATGGAATACACTAGAGAAAACTAAATAATAAAGTTGACATTATAATAGTTCAGGCACTACTCGAGAAACAAAAGCTATAAAAATTTAAACATGAGCTAGGAGAGTATGAAGAGAAAAAGACTGATGCCATCAATTGGGATTCACATCATCATATTCCTGAATTTATGGTAAACCTGCCCATATTCCTACCATGACATTATTCATTGAAATTCTCTTCTGGGCAGAAACAGCATGCTTTAAAAATGCAATTTAAAGCTAACCAGATAAAAAAATGATCCTTTAAGTGWTTTTCCCTTAGGCTGTAAATTAACTTAGGAGCTATTCTATATACCCAAACTCTAGTTTTAGACAAACACACTTTTCAGATTCTTAGACATTTTGTCTCTTCAAGAGTGTAATCAAAGTCACTTTTGTGGCATTAACAAATCAATAACTCAGAGCATAGTTTTGACCTTCTGCTGCCATTCTCAGATGGTTCTAGGTTCCCATCTTGTTCACCACTCACTAGTTAACTGATTTTGGTACATAAGTTTTATAGAGATAAGATATTGTTGGAAATAAAGGAGATAATGTGTATAAATTGCTCATCCTGGAATCTTTCATGTGCTAGTAGTAGTCATGCCACCCCTAACTCAGATCCTCTGATGCATCTTCAGTAGCTTTAGGATGTGCACCAACACCTTACCATAGCCAAAGAAGTACCTTCATCTCGGTCTCTCTGTAACTCTCCACCTTCACTTTCTACCATTTGATCACTCACATCTCCTTGTTGCAGCCACAACACATTATTTGTTCTTCAAATTGTTCTTGCTGTCTTGGACTCCAGTGCTTTTGCTCCTTCTTGATGATTGCTCTTTCTAGAGTGAGCTCTGACTTTTCACCCTGAGAAGCCTTACATGACTCACTTGTGCTGAATTGGGATCCCTTCTCCAGGCTCTCATGGAATCCTTTGCATATCTTTAAGATGGTTATATGCCACTAATCTAGTATTTTGCTTCCCACAAATCTAGATTGTAAATTAGGGGAACAAAAACTATAGCTCTTATTACTTTTTATTCTCAGGGCCTCACAGAATATGACAGAGCACATTAAGTGCCATGTACATTTTGTTGAATGAGTTATTATTGTACTGAGTCATTGGTGASTATGGGACCTTTCAACTAAGAAAGGATTTTTTTCTCTATATAACAACTGAAGGAATTTTTGTCCTGAAATTATGACTGTTAGGAAATTTAAAGCTGAAATAAAATAATTTTTTTAATACTTAGAATTTACTTTTTATCAAAGTAGATTTCCTTCTCTACAAGGCCCCAAAGGAACCCAAATGACTTACTTGGATTTTGTACAATGAGTTTTTCTAAGAGTATATTTTCTCATTTAATAATGAAATACTRAAAATGTCAGACTTTTATATGTTGAGTAAATTTCTTCATCTATAAAATAAGAAAACAAACCTTACTAATTGTACCTGGCTGTGAAATAAATKTGTGGTAAATAATACCTTTAAAGGTAAATACAATGAAACCCCCCAAATAGCCTGACCTAACTCTTCCTTAAACCAAATTCTCCTTGTATTGACTGTCCTTGCTAATGCTTAACATTTGGTTATGAAACATCAGTCAGCAGGACTACGGTAGGGATATTTCTTTGAATATTTTTATATTGATTGTCTTGTGGTTTTGTAATCATTATGTTCTTTTCCCAATAATTCAATCTCCAGTTTGAGAAGTTATGATTCAGCATTATAAATTATTATCATAAATATTAAATATCCACATAACAAGTATTMATTTTGACTCATTAGTTTACTTTCATTCCTACAACTATATTCCTTAGTGAATAGGCCAGTGCCCTTCCACTTTGTAGTTAGATATAATCATAACGAAGAAGTACTTATGGGTCGATATTCTTTATCAGTGTAACAACAATAACAAAACATTCATAGAATTTAAAGTAGCTTCCCTTCCAGCTGGAGAAATTGTGACCTATTTCATGGTCTTACCTGTAGCACTTTAGAATAACACAAATGATAGGACTTTGCAGGATGATGGACTAGTTGAAAAGACCAGGTTTTAGAAGAAGATAACCCTCAATTTCAAATTTTACTTTAACTTCTTACCATATGCATAAAAAAATTCTTGAACAAATTCTTGAACAAATTCTCTACTCTTCTATGCTTCTGTTTTCTTATTTTTTAAGTGAGGAAAATAATGCTTGTCTCTTTGGATGTGAAAATGTTTGAATGAGATAATTCATGTAAAATACTTCATTTCAGGCATTTATTAGGGGCTCAGTAAATGGTAGCTATTATTGTTGTTATCCATAAAGAATTACCATAATAAATTTTCTTTTCCTGAATTTTATAGTTTAACATTGATAGGAACAGATTTTTATTATTATTATTAGATATTTGGACCTTTTTTTCCCATAGAATTACACTACCTGAAAGTGTTACGTATTATCCTGACAAAGTTAGTAGCAAGATGGATTTCTGAAAATTAAAAGGAATTCCATAATAGAGCTGGGTTTAGAATGAAATAGAAATTTCAAAACCTGTGTTGTATGATGTTGGACTTCACTCCCTTCATTTCCCATTTTGGTTTTCAGTACGTTGAGGCAATGCAATTAACATGAATTTCTAATTAAGATCATCCATGTATATATAAACTTATAATATGAACTTGGGTGGAATGTAGCTCCTCATTTTGTTTTTATTGACCTGAGATAACAAGCCAAAGCTGCCCAATTTTGAACTAACAGCTCAAATAATTTGCTCATGGTTTCATTCTCTTCCAAGTTTTCATTAGTATCATATCACTGTGCCAAGACTGGTTAACAATTAGGCTAACACCATCCATTGAGACTCTGTGTGATAGTGTGAGTGATGAATCCTGTATAAAGGGACTGATTTGGGCCACATTATGATTGTGATAGAGCAAACATCTCATGGAAATATTTAATGATGGCACAGAAACATTAACTTGAATGACTGTATGAATATTTACATGAACAGAATCCTATTTGGAGAGGCTATTAAAAATTTGGGACACCTGGTTTAAAAACATCAGGTCAAATTAGAATGGTCCTAAATGAACATCTTATTTTATTTCATTGTGTATAACTTACTTTCATCTCCTGTTTCAAATTCGAACTTCTGACTGTAGCCACTGTATCCTGTTGCAGTCCTCACTCGGATATGAAATATGTACTTGGTGGCTGGCTTGAGACCTGTGATGATGACACTGGGGGCCTTGGACCTCGTGGAGGAATAGGTGAGCTGCTCATGCTCCTGGGGACAGAGAAAATGAAAGGAAATAAAGCAACAGGACCCCACCTTTTCCCAGAGACATTCCTAAGTTAAACTGAGGAACTATGCTCTGAATATCAGAAACATTGATTAAAAAGAAGTAAAAGCATGGTTTCCCATAATTTAGCATTTAATAGTTCACCGTTATGATATATGTGATATGGCCTTGATTGGGAAATTTATTAAGGAAGATAGTTACTCTTSTAGAAACTGCACTTGTGTTGTTGGTGATCTAGATTTCTTATCCAACTCTAAGTAATGGTGGTGGTGTGAGAGTACATTTACATAGAATGGCAGCTGCATCTTGAATACAGTGGGCACATCAGATCAGAACACGCCAGCAGAGTGCCAGGAGCAGAGAGGGAAGAATTCAAGTACCCGCTACTCACTTCTACCCGCAGGTAGTGCCAAAATGCCGGCGCTATCCGTGGGTAGACCTGTGGGTGAAAGGAAAAATAAATTAATTGTTTTTAAAGTTTGAAATCTTTCATCCAGAAATCTATTGCTTTGATCTGTAACKCAGTGATTCACCAGTAGTTGAAACTGAAACTAAGCCAACTTTAATAAATAAAAGGATTATTTTTTTTTTCCTTGAGGGAGAATTGACTCCTTCCCTATCTATATTACTATACTTTTAAACATGTGCAAGTTACATAGTAGTTATGAGATAGAATTTAAAATAATCTTCCCATGAAGGAACACTGAAGACATGGAAAGGTATGAAAGGCTTAGCATACCTGTGGGATCAGTCAGGGCCGCATGCTTGGTGTTTCTTAACCTGTGTTAACTAAGCTGCTTCACCTCACTAAGGGCAACAGGATTTGCCAGGGTGTTCTGAATGATCTAGTCAGACAGTGTTCTTTATGTGACTTTCTGGCCCATTATTTTAGAATAGTTCACTTAACCTGTCCTTGTAAGGCTTGTCCACAAGATTCTGGTTGTGGGACAAATTAAACTTGATACTGTTTTTGTATTATAAAGTCATTACACAATAACTTAAAAGTGACATGCTAAGTTATCAGACAATAACTTTATAATGATATTTTAGTAAGATATCTGAAAGACATTGAACAGAGTGAGCACCTCTAATCTGAAAATCCAAAATCTGAAGTGCTCCAGAAACAATTATTGAGTGTTGATGTGCTGCCACAGATGGAAAATTCCACATCTGACCTTATTTGATGTGTCACAGTCAAAATGCAAGTGTACTACTGGGCGGAATGGTGCATACTTGTAATCCCAGCAGTTTAGGAGGCTGAGGCAGGAGGATTGCAGGTTCAAAGCCAACCTCAGTAAAAGAGAGGTACTAAACAACTCAGTGAGACCCTGTCTCTAAATAAAATACAAAAAAAAAAAAAGGGCTGGGGATGTTGCTCAGTGGTGAGTGCTCCTGAGTTCAACCTTCGGTACCAAACAAACAAACAAAAAGCAAGTGCACTAAAAATAAGTGTACCAAATTAACTTCAAGCTATGTGTATAAGGTATATGAAACTTAAATGATTTTTGTGTTTAGACTTAGGTCCCATCCCAAAGTATCTTATGTATAGGCAAACATTCCAAAATTGAAAAAAAAATCTTTCATATCAGGTACCAAGAATTTTGATCAAACCAGGTCAACAGGTCTTTAAGTTATTTTTTTTCTATTCTTTTCATAAATCTCACTCAAAACTTTCAGGGATGAAAGTGACTTTCAAAGCCTAACCAAATCACTTATTTGATGTTTAAATTCTGTCTATAATATTCTCATTGAGATTTCATTTATGGTTTGCCTGAAAACTACAGCTATTCARGAGTAGTCAGGGAGATCCAGACTAACAAACAAAGTTATAAAAATCCCCACATACAATATGCCAACTTTCATGTATTTGCCGGTGATGCTTTAAGATTTAGAACTATGAAAATCATTTCCCTTAAGCTACTGAAAAAAAAAAGTTCTTATCTTAAAGATAATTTTTAAACTTTATGGCCTTATTTGTCAGAACTTTATATTCTGTATGGTTATTCAGTGTCAAACTGAAGAATCTAATTTGCTMTCTCTACCCAAAATAATAAAACTGTTTATTGAATAGGAAATACAAAGAAAAATGTGTTAATGACAGCAATATTTTGACTAAAAAAGACAAAACAGAAAAATTGCAACTTATATTTATCGCTGTGTAATTTTGAGAATAGAAAGCAAATAAATATTTACCTACCAATCATAAACTCTAAAGAAATAAAACAAGGTCTCTAAATCATTGATGGCCATAATCATCTACAAAGGGTTGAAGGGAGTAGTTGGCTAATATCAAGGCCTTTATAATGAAGGAGATTAAACCCATATTATACAGAAAAATGTAGACTGTTAGAAGAAATGATATTGCTTCTAGAATAAATTTTCAGAACATTTGAATTTTTACATCCTATATGCAAGAGAAGAATATCCACTTTTCATAGAATTTTCTGCAACATAAGAGTTATTGTGAATGCTGCCTCACAATATGAAATGAGTTGATTGATGACTGAGAGATAAATTGTAAAGTCATGAAAAAGGAATTGAATTCTATCCCTGAACCAAGGAGGTAAGAATTCAAAAGTTTACTCTTAGAATAGCCTCCATAATAATTACACATTATACCTTTTTTGCTTCACAAATACACAGCTRAATAGTAATTTCCTATTTAGTAAAGTTACAAGGAGTAAAGGACACCTTCTGCAGGTAGCTTTTAGCTTTTCTGCTGTTATATATTCAAGTGCATTTGTAACTACATCCCCAGAATAAAAATGCTCGAGCAGGAAGGGTGCTGAAACAGGTCCTCAGCCAGACGCCACCAGCATGATGGCAGCTGCCTTCTTCTACATCTTCTATCTTGCTAGCCTGTCGCAGAAGAGGCATCACAAAGCAGTCTCTCACTGGGAGTTCTCTCACAGTACACAGCAGCCCTCTGTCCTTCTGGTGTTTTTAAGCTCTTGGGAAACCGAGTTAGCTTTCATCCATGACAAGCCCAGGACACTATTAACTCAGAGCTATGGCTAATTGCCTTTCGGCTGACACATCAACTCCAATTCAAAGTAGCTGTCAGTAGGTAGAGACCATGCTTAGCACAGAGCCATCTAGCTCTCAGTACTCATTCTGGCAGGCTGAATTCTGAACATGGTTTAACAAAGTGTATGTGCATGCTTTTCTGGAGTTTGTACCGTAAGTTTGTGTCATAATGGAACTGCTAATTGAATGACAGGTATACCATTAACAATGCTTGGTAATACGTTCTATTGTTCATGAAGTTTTCTGACATGCTTTTCATCTCTGCTGAATCTRTAGTGAAATTCCTCTATCACCCTTAATATTATTTATTTTTGTATTTTATTTTAATAATCAAACTTCCCAGACATTTGAATGAACATTTGGCTTTGTTTCCCTCTCTATTGTTTCTCTRTTTCCTATTACATCTAATACCTACTTTCACTATAAATTATTTTCTTCCCGCTTTTTACTTTCTTTGTGTTAATTACATTGCCTTCTAACTTCTTATGTTTCATGCTTAGCTTATTAGCATATTGATTTCCACATACAATTTAAATTTACCAATTTCACACTTAAGTGACTGCAATGGCTATATCCATATGTTTTCATATGGTGTATTATCTATYGTTTCTAAGTATTTACTAATTTTCAAAAAATATGATATATTAAAAATATGATATTTAAATATGATATTTAAGTGATAATCAGATCCAGGATTATCACTTGCAATCTCTTCTGGGTCAGGACAGGTTGTCAGGCAGCAAATAAATTACATAAAGTGTAGTTCTAAAAGCTTAACTCCATAGGTGGCAAAGCACATTTTACTGTGGATAGATATAGAGGGTGCTCATTGGCCCCRGGGCACCTGCAGTCACACTGTAATGCTTGCCCTACCTCTCCTTGGATTWAGATAGAAAATAACACCAACTGTGGGTACATAGTAACAATCAATTTTAATATATTGTTATGAATATCATTTCCTAAAATATACAGTTACTATTTTATACGTTCACATGTACACATTTCAAAAAAATGTAGGGCATTGTAAGACAGGGCATATATGTATCGTTCTCTGGAGAATTTGACCTTTACTTATGGTTCCCTTCCTATGGGAAGATCCTGGAGCTTCAGCTCAGGCACTGTTCCTTTCCAGGTGCTAAGAATCAAGCTGCTGGRAATCAAACTGGAACAATAAGATTTACCTAGAATACTCAATTCAGCTTTATGTTCGTAGGCACCAGTTTTTTCCCAGACACTAAAAGGATGCTTCTCCTTGAGTTTGGATCCTTTCGCATTGGATTTGCAAACTGTAAATTTGTGAAAAAAAATAGCTCAGGTGCTGAGTACCTCTACTGAATCAGTCTACAATCAGGTAACATGGCCTGAGTCTGTGGGGAGCAACACATACAGAATTCTGGATTGGAATGCTCCTATCTTGGATGTGATTATGATTCTGTTTCTGTTGTGTACCTTGGTATGTCGCCTTCAAGAGTTTGATGTATTCATATAATAAATTAAGTAAATTAAAACCCATATATTCTATATACATTTGCTGAATTCTCACTATGTATGAGGTTTTAGGGCACCCTCATAGTCACCAAAGTTCTACCCACCAACTGAATTCTATAATTATTTCTATGCCAGAAAGGTAGGCCCCTTCGCTTCTGCTGTGAGCCATTAGAGGGCTAAGGAAAATATTAAAGATCTTCCTGTCATGGCCTGCTGTGACTTTCCCACATCCTTGATAGGACATCTATAGAATGCATACTCTTTGAAGGGTTTAGCTCACTCTGAAGAATTCTGAGATATTTATTTATCTCAAGGTTATCACTCCCTCCCTTTGGGGAGGGGACAAAGTGTCCATGACAGGATCACTAAGTCACACAGTTTGTTAGAACAGAGCTTTCTTTGTTCTAACTGGTATTTAAAGAGTCTCACTGGGAATAAGACTTTAGAGTTTAACTCCTAGAAAGGACAC